TCCATGATTTTTAACAAAACAACTAAAAATATTTTCTCTCTGTGGGTTTTATTTATCTACAAGCACTTGGATAACATGAATGATATGTCTGTGCTGGAAACCAAGATCAACAGTAATTAACATAAATGTGAGGAGACTGGCAGAAGGCTAGCCAGTGCTCCTTTTGATATTCACAGGGTGAATATTGACACTTTATTACTTGCTGCTGACTCAATGGCCTAAAGCAAACTCCCCCCAAACCTGACAATCTTACTGTTTACTAAACATTACTATTGATATGTCTGTTTGCATTCCTAAAAGGCAATTGTGTATTCTAGTAAATATAAGTAGCTGGGAACGAGACTCAGCAGAGAACTGGACTACATGGTCTAGTTTTCCTCTGGTTTTCCCCAGTATCAAAATTAATATTTCGTCTTGTGTGCCAATTTGTGCTCAGCTCTTCCTCCAAGCCTTTGAACCCTGAAAGCCACGCTGGCCATGAACTTAAACAATTGGTGCCTGAAACAAGATCTTGGAGGAAAAGTATTTGCCAGAGCAGAAAATATCACAGGACCCAGTGGTGGAAGTTTGCGTGCAAAACTTATGTCAGCTGTGGAAGCCTGCAGATCCGTAAGTGCTCGAGTGATTTCTTTTGTTTCAACCAGATCAAAATGGGGCAGAATTTGTTGAGAGAAGAGAGACTTTCCTGTAGATTCTGACTTGATTATTAAAAGATAAGGGAGTTGCAGTTTCAAAAGGTCTTCTTTTACAGTTTCTACAGATTATTATATAATATAATCCATGGTTTTCTGATGAGGGTACATTGAATATTGAATGTTGAGATTGGATAGGTAGGAACTTGAAAGAAGCTCAGCAGCAGGAGAAAAATTTGCCTCCAAATTGTTTCTCTTTGTGGAAAACGATATTGCATTTGCTAGAGCCTTTCAAAGAAGAAAGACGTCCTCCCCTTGCACCCTCCGCTCGTAAAGAGAAGCAGAAAGATAAATTGGAGGAGTGGCCTTCATGTCCTGATTCTGAAACATTTAAATCGCCACTAGCAGAATCACCTATGCAAAAAGCCATCAGAAAAGGATTAAAGGACATGACAGTAGAAGATAGACTTGCTTTTCCTATTACACAGGTAGCTAATCCACAATTCCCAAATCAAATAATAAGACAGCATGAAATATTTGACTTTAAAATGATAAAGGCCTTGGGTGATAGTGTAATACAGAATGGTGCAAATGCTCCATTTGCTGGAGAAATTATAACTAACATTTCTGAAGCATTCCTAGCTCCTTATGATTGGTATTCTCTAGCCTGTGCAAGTCTGGATGGAGGAGATTATTTGCTATGGAAAGTAGAATTTTTAAAGAAATGTCAAGAGCAAGCTTCTTCAAATCTCAGGCAGAATATTCTCATAACTTTTGAGACGCTTGCAGGACAGGGACAATTTAGTGACGTCCAAAATCAGCTTCAATATGTCCAACAGGCGTATGAGCATATTAGACTTTGTGGACGAAAAGCCTGGTGGACTTTACCAGCAAAAGGGGAACCTGAAGGGGCCTTTAGTAAGTGCATGCAGGGGCCCACTGAGTCATTCTCTGATTTTGTAGTTGGCCTCCCTCCTGCAGTGAGAAGGCAGATTCAACATGAGACAGCAGGAGACATTTTGACTCAGCAATTAGCTTATGAAAATGCAAAGGCTGATTGTAAGAAATGTCTAATGCCTCTAAGGAAAAATAGTACCATTACAGAAATGATTCGAGCATGTCAGAATGTGGGGTCAGGCATTTTTCAGGCAAGCTTACTAGTTGCTGCAATTACAACAAGAAACAAATTATGTTTCAATTGTGGACAAGGACATTTTAAAAAGGAATGTAAGCAACCAAAAGGTGATGCTGAGGGAGAAGGCATAAACATCCCACCTCCCAACTCAGGTAATTCAGGTCTATGTCTCAGATGTAAGAAGGGGAGTCATTGGGCCAATCAATGTAGATCTAAATTTAATAGAAATGTCCAGCTATTAAATCAAGACATAGGAAATGGTCAGCCACAGGGAAACGGCCAGAGGGGCTCCCCCCAGCCCCGTTATTAAATAAGGGTGTTGGAATTCCTGATAACACACAACGCAGCACTGCAGTTTTAAAGTGGAAAGATGAGGAAGGACAAACAGGATGGTTTCACCCTCATATAGTCTCTGTAATTGCAGTCAACTTATGGGGCCAAGACATTTTAGAAGGTTTACAAGCTTTTATTATTACCAGTAAAAGACAACAGTTAATAACTCAAATAGGATATCAAACTGGTCAAGGTTTAGGGAAAGAAAATCAGGAGATTAAAGAACCCATTCAGGCCAAAGAATATACAGGAAAACAAGAATTAGAATATCAGCCTTTTTAGGAGTGGTCACTGCTCAATCTCCTCACCTCCATCCTGAGCCTATACAGTGGAAAGATGATAGGCCTATATGGGTGGATCAGTGGCCATTAACCAAGGAGAAATTAAATCATATTCATGAATTAATACAGAAACAAGTACAGGCTGGTCATATAGAACCTTCCAATAGTCCTTGGAATACTCCTATATTTACTATACCTAAGAAAGGAAACTGGCGATTGTTACATGATCTTAGAGCCGTTAATGCCACTATGCATACCATGGGAGCTTTACAGCCTGGACTCCCAGCGCCTTCACAAATACCTCTAGATTGGTCTCTTATAGTAGTAGATCTTAAGGATTGTTTTTTCACCTTTCCCTTGGCACCGCAAGATAAACAAAGATTTGCCTTTTCAGTGCCATCTATTAATAATATAGAGCCTATGAAAAGATATCAATGGAAAGTTTTGCCTCAAGGAATGGCCAATAGCCCTACTTTATGTCAAGAATATGTTGCTCAAGCTTTTCAACCTTTAAGGGACAAATATTCCCAGTGTTATATTGTCCATTACATGGATGACTTGCTCCTAGCGAGTCCACGGGAAGAACAGACTTTAGCAATGTTTTCTCAATTAGAAAAGGAACTTCCTAAATGGGGCTTAAAAATTGTTCCAGAAAAAGTACAGAAAGAAATGCTTTTTAAATATCTAGGTACCATAATTAAAAACCAATATATTAAATCTCAGAAAGTAGAAATAAAAAAAGATTGCCTTAAAACCTTAAATGTCTTTCAAAAATTATTAGGGGACATAAATTGGTTAAGACCTTATCTAAAAATATCACTGGAGAAACAACAAATTTATTTAATACTAGAGGACTAGTGCACAGCCCGGCCTGTGCCCTCTCACAGTCTGGGACCCCTCGGAGGATGACTACCTGCTGGCTCAGGCCTGCTCCCCAGGGGATTGGGCCTAAGATGGTAATCAGACATCCCTCTGGGGGATGCCCTCAGGGGATGTCCACTTGCCAGTGGGGAGCAGACCTAAGCTGCAGTCAGACATCGTTAGCGCTGTTGAGGAGGCAAGAGAGGCTCCCACCACCACCGCTGTACTGGCAACCATCAGCCTGGCTTGTGGCTGAGCAGAGCTTCCCCATGTGGGAGTGCACTGACCACCAGAGGGCAGTTCCTGCATTGAGGGTCTGCCCCCTGGTGCTCAGTGTGTGTCATAGTGACCAGTCATTCCTGGTCTTTCTGCTGTTAGGGTCAGTTTGCATATTACCCTTTTACTACATAGGATAGAGGCCTGGTACATGGGTGGGGGCCGGCTGGTTTGCCCTGAAGGGTGTCCCGGATGAGGGTGGGGTCCCCGCTGTGGTGCCTGGCCTGCCTGGGTGAGGGGCTGATGGCTGTTTGCAGCTGGTCACACCCCCTTCAGGGTGGTGGTCCCCACTGGGGTGCCTGGCCAGCCTGGATGAGGGGAGGGGCTGATGGGTATTTTAAGGCTGTCCACACCCCCTTTAGGATGGGGGTCCCCACTGGGGTGCCTGGCCAGTCTGGATGAGGGGAGGGGCTGTTTTCAGGCTGGCAGGCGACTGAAGCTCCCAGCCTCTCCTTTTTTTCTTTTTTTCTTTTTATTCTGGGATTTATTTACCTTCTATAATTAAAAAATTGTTGCTGCCCTGCTCGCTCCAGCTCTGAGGCCGTGGCTGGCTGAAAGCAGGCATCTGGGGTTTGTTTAGCTTTTATAATTAAAACTCCGTTACTTTTGGAGCTGTTGCTTTCAGGCTCAGAGCCGGGCCACGGCAGACGGGGAACCTTGGCTTCCTCCATCACTGGAGCAAGCAAACCTCCTGCTCACTTCAGCTGCATGGCTGCCTGCTGCCATATTTGTTGGCAGTTAATTTGCATATTGCCCTGATTAGCTAATGGGAAGCGTAGCAAAGATACGGTTAATTACCCTTTTTGTCTTTTATTAGATAGGATTAGAGGCCCGGTGCACAAAAATTTGTGCACTTGGGTGGGTCCTTCAGCCCAGCCTGTGCCCTCTCACAATCTGAGGCCCTTTGGGGGCCCCTTCCCCTGGCTGCTGGTACCAGTTTTCCTTTGGTGCCCGGAACCCAGGCCTTCGCTCTTCACCGGGAGGGGCCCATGCATTGAGTGAGGGGCTTAGCTCTTTTAAAAATACTTCTGAATGTTTGGTAAATAACGCTGTAGGAATCTACTTTCTGAAACATGCTGGTTGTTAAGGGTCGATTTGGGTAATCAACAAAATGTATGTTAGAATCCTAATCCCCAGAACCTCAAAATGTACCTGTATATGGAGATAAGATCTTTAAAGAGGGGATTACATTAAATTGAGGCAATTCCAGTGGGACCTTTAGCCCATCTCACTGAAGTCCTTATATGAAGAGGAATGTTGGGGTCCTGCCCCAGCAGGTCCAGGGGTTCCCAAAGGTGTGGATGGAGTCAGCGAAGAAGGAATCACACAGAGGCAGCATTCAGGTGATTAACATAGCCAGGTTCTCTTTTTATTGTCCTGTTACATCTATATTTATACTATTTGCTCCTATAAGCATGCCTCTATAAGCATTTTTTTTTTTTTTTTGGCCGAGGAGAGCATGGGGTCCGTTTATTAGGGGGGTCAGTCAAAGGGGGAGCTAGCAAGGGTGGGGTAGGGCAGCAGCTTGTCTGGCCCCCAAGAAACCCAACTTGAGTCCAGAGCCTTGAATGCTTTGAAGCCAAAGTCTTCCTCCCCCTTTATCTGCACGGGGGCCAGCTCCAGAGTCAGCAGAACTCCTGCCCTGTGCCCTTCCCGTGGCACTCGCCACCCCTTCCAACTGCTGGGCCCCTCACCAGGGGCCGGGCTGCTGGTTTCTGCAGGTGCTGGTGTCCTCCTGGGCAGGGACAGCCCCTCTTTCTCTGGAGGCTTATTCTCAGCGTTGCCTGGGGTGCAGGCGTCTGTGCCCTGGCTGCCCTTGTCCTCCAGTAAGATGGTGAACTGGCTGGCCCAGTAGTCGTCACCGTAGGAGTCCAGAACCCTCATGAGGAACCTCCGCTCCTGCTGGAGTCTCTGTGTTATCCTCTGTATCTGATGGAGCCTGTTCAGGACCCGCTCCTTCACCTGCTTGATCTCCCTGCAGTGCAGATACAGTGCCCAATACTTCCTGCGATTGAGTTCCCATTGGCGCCACCGCTGCAGGCCCTGGGCTGCCTCCTCCTCTTCATCTCGCTCCTGGAGGCTGGAGCTGCCCAGACCCCCAGACACGAACTCCACTTCGGTCTCAAGATCGCTCTCCAGGATGTGACCACCGAACAGTGGAGGCAGCGCCAGCTCCGAGCCAGGAGGTGCTGAGAACTCCTCAAAGCCCACAGCTGCCATGGACCCCTCTCTCTGCTCCAGCTCCATTTCTCCCGGCTCCCGGCGCAGAACTTTCAACCTTGCAAACCTCTAGGTTAAAGTGGCTAACAAAACCACAAGCCCCATCCGATTTCACAGCCAGGCACCCATGCCCCCGCCGTTAAACCTCCTGGGAGTTGTAGTTCTCTATTTCCCTCGCCCCACCCCGACTCCGAGTCCCAGCTGAAAGGCCCTGCTCACTGGTCTAACACTGCAGCCAGGCATCTGAGTCACCTCCATCTTTATTCCTGCCCTGACACCGCGCTGTCTGACCATGGAGATTCTCCGCTTGGGAGGCCCCTGGGTCTCCTGGGGCCAGGGCTGCACCGCTGCCCGGGCACCGGATCACGTGCTCCGGTGGCGAAGCAGCCCCCAGCCCCTGAGTCTCCTTCTGGGGCCTGGCTGCGTCACCCCCCAGGGACCAGATCACGTCCACAGGCAGCGATGCAGCCCGGCCTCTGGCCACACCTCTGGGTCTTCTCTGATCACTGGTAATAGGTGATCTGAGAATACAGGCAGGGCCGGGAAGAGGCGGACATCCGCCTCTTCCCTGCCCCACCCAGCTTCTTCGATTACTGGCCCAGGGCCAGCAAAGGTGGCCCAGTTCTCTGATCACAAAGGCGGCCCAGTTCTCCGGCTCTTGGCTGCCACCTGGGTTTCCAATCGCCATCAGCAGCAGGTGGCTTTTTCCATCCTTCCCCTTTTGCCTCACATCATTGTGCCTACATATGCAAATTAACCACCATCTTTGTTGGCGGTTAACCGCCATCTTTCTTGGCAGTTAATTTGCATATTGCCCTGATTAGCCAATGGGAAGCATAGCAGAGGTATGGTTAATTACCCTTTTTGTCTTTTATTAGATAGGATACTTAGAGGTGACTCTAATCTTTCCTCACCCCGAGTATTGACAGATGAAGCTAGAAAGGAGTTACTGAGGAGGAAACTGGTCTTGCAAGGTGTGTCAGGCCATAAAGACTGTAAACAATGCACTGCCCTGGGGGGAGGGTTGTTATGCTGGCTCCAGCATGTGGCCTGACACCTGGGGGCCTTCCTGCAGGGCCACAAATGGTGCAGTGGGCATATCTGCAAGACAAAGACCCCAGTGGGATATATATATATAGACAGGCTCTCTGCATGTTTCTTCACTCTGATTTGGAAATTAGTCCCAGAGTCCACTAGTGTTAATAAATGGGGCCCCTCCCTTTCTCTAGGAAGCATGCTTGGTATTTCTTTGCTCTTCTGTAACATATGGTTCCCTGAATCATGAAGCTAACTGCGTTTGGCTCTTGCCTTTGGTGAGTGGATGGTGTTTGGGGCCCGTGGGCACGGGACAGGCCTCCAGAAGGCACATGCTGCTGATTTTAGCAGAATTGAACCGGGGGGAACTCCAGGCACTCCCGGACCTCAGCCCAGGACTCAGCCGGCATCTGGAGAAAGTGGATGGACACCTCTGGACCTGTCGACAGAATCTGTAAGGTAGGGGCCCCAGTCAGTCAGGCCCATTCCAAATGAGTGGAAGGGGGAGCTTGATCACCTCCCCAAAAGTCATAGGACTTTGTCAGGTAATCAGGAATCAGGACTCCAGAGGTGAGTGAATTCAGATTCTATTAAGGATTTATGGGTTCACTCTTCTGTTTCTTTGCTGTGTGGGGCTAGCCAATTTGCTACCGAGAAGAGGGGGGCTGGACGCAGCCTTAACTCCTCCGGTAGGCTCTCACCAAGATGTCGGTCGAGAATTCTGGTCTGGGGCATGGGTGCCGGGAGTGCACCCATGCCCAGCTGGGGATTTGGGCATTATCTGCTCAGCTCCAGTCTGGGCTAGTCTACTGAGAGAGTGTGAGTACAGATGTTTGCCTGTCTTGGCATAATTATCTGTGAGTAACAGATAATGAGAGAGAGAGAGAGAGAGAGAGAGAGAGAGAGGGGCTCTCTGCATGTTTCTTCACTCTGATTTGGAAATTATTCCCAGAGTTCACTAGTGTTACTAAATGGGGTCCCTCCCTTTCTCTAGGAAGTGTGCTTGGTACTTCTTTGCTCTTCTGTAACATTACAAAGAATTGAGCAGGCAATCTCCTTAGCCCAAGTGGCATGAATACTGCCTGAATTGCCTTTATTGGGACAAATTAATCCTACTGCAAATAGTACCACTGGAGTCATCTTCCAAAATAAAAACTCTCTTGCTATTATTGAATGGGTCCACCTAGGACATCAATCCTCTAAAACTGCAGTTACATATATATAGCTTATGGCTCAATTAATATTACGGCTTAGAAAATGCAGCAGACAGCTTAGAGGACAAGAACCCCAATGCATTTACCTTCCCCTCACTGGGAAGCAATTAGAAATGTTATTTCAGACTGATTTAAATTGGCAAATTGGACTGAGTGGATATTCAGGGGAACTTAGTTGTCACCTACTAAAAGACAAATTATTACAATTTTTATATTATACTCCTATTATTATACCAAAAAATACTAGGCAGGAACCTATTCCTGAAGCATTAACTGTTTTTACTGATGGATCATCAAATGGCAAGTCTACTTATCATACAATTAATTTAGACTGAGTCATCCAAACTAGTCATACTTCTGTACAAAGAATCGAGTTAGGAGCTATTGAGGCTGCATTAAAAGAATTGCAAGAACCTCTTAATATTATCTCTGATTCATTTTACACTGCAGGTTTATTAAATAGAATTGAAACTGCTCGTTTAAAATGGCTCAGTGACCAAAGTTTGTTTTACTATTTAAACAAGTCCAGCAGATTGTGTAACAAAGACAATATCCTTTCTATATTACTCACATAAGGGCTCACAGTTTATTACCTGGCCCTTTGGCAAAAGAAAATGCACATGTTGATCAATTGGTTGCTTTATTAAAATAGGCCTCAGAATATCATCAGCTTTTACATCAGCCTGGCAAAATGTTGTCTAGATAATTCTCAATCTCTTGCCAGCAGGCAAAACAGATTCTCAGACAATGTCCCACTTGCATGTTACATCTACTCAAGGGCCTAACACAGGAGTCAACCTTAGAGATTTGCTAAGGGACCATATCTGGCAAATGGATGTGATACATTATACTTCCTTTGGATTCCTTGGGGCATTGCATGTCTCTGTAGACACCTTTTCAAAAGTCCTTTGGGCTACTGCATCTACAGGGGAAACGGCAAAACAGGTTATTAATCATTGCCTAACTCAGTGGTTCTCAACCTCCTAATGCTGTGACCCTTTAATACAGTTCCTCATGTTGTGGTGACCCCCAACCATAAAATTATTTTCGTTGCTACTTCATAACTGTAGCAACAGTTCTCTATTTCCCTTGCCCCACCCCCACCTCGAGTCACAGCTGAAGTGGGACTAAATTCATAATTTTGCTACTGTTATGAATCATAATGTAACTATTTGATATGCAGGATGTATTTAGGCGACCCCTGTGAAAGGGTCGTTCAACCCCCAAAGGGGTCACGACCCACAGGTTGAGAACCACTGGCCTAGCTGCTTTTGCTGTCATGGGAATTCCAAAAATTATTAAAACTGATAATGGGCCTGCTTACAAAAGCTGTCATTTCCAGCAATTTTGTAAAAAGTGGAAAATTCAGCACATTACAGGAATACCATATAATTACCAAGGACAGGACATTATTGAATGACAACATCAGCGGCTAAAATACCAACTTGAAAAACAAAAAGGGGGGATAATAACGGAGAAATCACTTGTGGGAAGGCTGCACCAAGTCTTAATTACTTTAAATTTTTTCACTTGTGATGCTGATGGCAAGACACCAATGGAGTTACACTGGTGTCAAAATAAAACAAAGGAAAATGGTCTAGTTAAAAGGAAAGATCCTGACTCTGATTTATGGAAAGGACCCGATCCATTATTAACATATGGCCGAGGATATGCTTGTATATTTCCAGAGAATTTCTCCAAACCTGTGTGAATTCCTGCTAGAAATATTAAACTGCAACATGGATCTGAGAGAGGAACTAGCCAGATTAATGAGGACCTTTTTCCTGGAGCCACACCATGCAGCTGTAGACAATCGACTACCCCAGCCACAAAGAGCAGCCCTAGGTAACACACTGAAGATAAGGAGTGGAAGAACACTGCAGATGATGAACAGCCCAGAGATGACTTGGGGAGTGATAAAAAAGACAGTCCAGAAGCTCAATGAATTTGTGAAGAGACCAAAACCCCAAGAACGCCTGAAAATGTCTTTCTTGCCATGCTGGTAGTAACCAGCTGTGCTGTAATCTCACCAAGGGCTAATGGGGATGTCCTCCCTGGGTAAAATCCCTTATGTGGACTGATCCCCCGCCGAGTATGGGCAAAGTATAATTACCTTGGTGTCCCCACCCGGCTTCCCTTTTTTATATGACATAAGAATCAAACTACTGCTCCTTTGTGTGTAGAATTAAAGCTGGCTAGCATCACACCAAAGGAAGGAGAAGCAAAAACCTAATTAATTACTATCATTGCTTACTTCTGGGAGAGGCAAAGAGAATTTAACATTACTAAGACCTCCCCCCACTAAGCCATTATATAAAAAATCTTATGAATGGCACCCACTAGCAGCAAAGTTGAGAAGTTTTTTCTTTTGTGGATTGAAGCCCCTATAGGTCTGCATATAGTAATAATCAATGAAAATCAGCTACTTCAATTGCACCAGTAAAATGATATAGTTTAAAATAATAACTTCAATGAAAAATCACCTTCTTAAGAAGACAAAATGACAGCAGTATAGACGGACATGTCCTGTGCCTTGTCCCAGAGCAGATAGAGTGAGCAGCTGAAACGAGTAACATCCAGCCAGAATTGGTAGAGGAAATTCAGCTGGGAGACAGTTTGCAGCTGGGAAAAGCAGAGGACTCCCAGAGAAAGGTAAAGTCAAGGCTCTGGGAAAGATAATCCGCCAGAATTCTGAGCCCTGAGGATCAGAAGGAATCCACATGGCACAGGCTTGGGCTGCTTCCATTGGGATGGGCGCAATGGAAAAAAAGGTACGCA